GATTTAAGGTGGAAATGTTTGTTAAAGGAAAACCTGCAGATTCCAGCTAAATGATGTAACCGAGAAAATTATTATCGTTTATTATCAGTGATTTATTCTTGTCATTTCTTTGGAGAAATAAACACATTTACCACAAGGTGGCAGCGTTTTAGCAGTTTTATATCTGTGTTGTGTTTAAATGTTTGTGTTTAATAGAGACGCTGAACGCTTCCTGTTCACGAAACAATCGCTGAGCAAGACAAGAACGTCGTTTCGGTACGAATGAGTTAAAACTAACATGAATAATGTGGGATCGTGTTATTTAAACCAGAGTTTCCGCTCACAGACAGCAGGGAGGATGGAGGGGCGGTGGACGGCTCCAGCAGGCTCTCCTCTGCACGTAATCAGGTGGAGGCGCACACCTGTGCCGCTGCTGCTGCTGCTGAACAGCTACAGATTTTCTTTATGTTCTTCCTGTAGGTTGAAGATTAAGATTGAAAGATTAAATTCTATAAATCCAGCTGATTATTGTCCATCAGAAATACGTGCGCGACTTCTCATCAGATTCACGTCACGCATTCAGCTTCAGTCTGAACCTTTGATATAGTTTTATTGTTTGTTGTCTTTATGTCCGTTTTCTCTCTAAAATCCTGAAAAACTTTGAAAACATTAGTGAGTGAGGGTGATGTCAGGATGCAGTTTGGAATAAAAAAAACTTTGTATTGTTGAAAAAACAGCAAATCCTCAAAAACAAAAGAGCTGAAAGTGTAAAATGTTTGAGAGCAGGAAGAAGCTTTGATCCAAACGATTTAACGCTCATTTAGTTTCAGTTTAAAACCTGCAGCAGCGGCTCAGAGACGAGAAGCTTCTCTGTGCGGTCGCTGCCACAGACCTGTGTCTGTAAATCACTGCAAAATATTAGAAAACATCAAGTTTGAGTGGTTTGCGTAGCACAAAGACTTTAAACCAAGGAAATCAGTAAAAATGTGAGAAACAGCATCAGTCCAGGAGCTCGCAGATCACTGAAAAACCTCCCGGTCTCACTGACACAATCAGTGACCCTGAGCAGCTTAGAGACGTGGACTTCGTCTTGGACCATGTGAGGAGCTCTACGGACCACAGCTAAACCACTGTGAAGATCTGAATCACATATTAAGTAAAATAATGTTCGTGAAACATTTCTGTCCGAAAGTGGCACAAAAACGCAAAGTTTCAAATGATCAGTTGAACGTGAAAAACCTCCAACAGGAACACGTCTGCAGCCCATCGTCCTCCAAACATGAGCTCAATGAAACGAAGTGAAATAAATCTGCCATGTCTGACGCGTTTTCATGATTTCAGGCCGTGTTTTGTGGCACAGTTACATAAATGATGAGTTCACTCGGAGTCACGCTGAGTCTGTGCAGCAGAGACGGAGCGCCTGGAAAACAGACTGCAGGTGGGATGAGTGGGAGATGTCGGATGTCACACCCACGTGTTTCAAGGGTTTCACTGCAGTGCGAGGAGACAGTCGGCATCTGTGGCCACCCACCCGGCTGGCCCGGCCGCCGCCGGCGTCCCCGCCCACACGTCATAAACCCCATGTTCAGAGGAGACTGCCAGGAGCCGACGCGTACACCGCAGTCCGCGTGCCGTGCTGGACTGCCTGTGGTGCAACAAACGTGTCAGTGTGTAAAATCTGTAAGCACAACATTAGTAACCAGAGACAGACGATGAGCAGCACACAGACACTCACGCTGTAGAAATATACTTTCATTTCTATATAAAATGTCACAAACGTGCAGAGTCTCTCTCTGTTTTAGAGTCGACACATTTTTTCCTCCATTTCTGGAATTTCCTGAATTGTTTTCCTTTTTCCCAACAGGCAGACGCTTCCTGCAGCACTTTATTCTACATCGAGTGTAGTCAAGAATATGTTTGTAGTTCCTCTACAGCAGGGGTCCCCAATCTCAGTCCACGAGGGCCGGTGTCCTGCAGGTTTTAGATCTCACCCTGGGTCAACACACCTGAATCACATGCTTAGTTCATCATCAGGCTTCTGGAGAACCCCAAGACATTTTGAGGAGGTCAATCATCCATTTAAATCAGCTGTGATGGATCAAGGACACATCTAAAACCTGCAGGGACACCGGCCCTCGTGGACTGAGATTGGGGACCCCTGGTTTAAAGACTGCACGAAGCACCGATCCTCCAATCACAGACCGGCACGCCCCGAGCACAGCAGGACACAAGCTGATCACGAGTGTTTAGCCTCTGCTGGGTTTTCAGCAAAGCCCGACTCGCTCCTGGTGGTTCCTTTCTCAAAGAATCTGGGTGTAGCCAAGGGTGGAGCGTGTTGGACTCTGTGGTCTCAGATGTGGTTGTCTTGGCTTCATCAGATGGCGACCTCCAGCTTGGGGTAGTTTGCAGCTGAGTGCGAAGCATTAGGAATGAGAATGAGCACCTCCCACTCAGAGAAAAGGGTGGAGCAGCGTGAGGAGTTTCCAAGGTTTCTGGACATGTACAGGTCATACTGTACAAGGCAGCATGCGTCATTGAGTATATGTGTGTGTGTGTGTGGGGGGGGGGGGGGGGGTGTGTGTGTGTGTGTGTGTGTGTGTGTGTGTGTATGTGGGTGTGTGTGTCTGTAGAGTAAACACAGTCAGGGTCTACTGGTCAGAGGTCAGATCCTCGGGTCGTGGCGGGGTGATGCAGATGATCGCTGAAGGTCAGCTGCTGGATGTCTCACAGCAGCAGGCTGATGGCAGTCTGGCTGTATTTGTGGCAGCAGGGAGACGCCTCCGTCTGCAGACACAGAGCTGCTGAAGAGTCTTTTTCAGGTTTTTATTCAACAATTATTTTTTTTAGCATATTTTTTACTTCTATCATTTCTCATAACCCTTAATGTTATTCATGTAATATTACTTTGATTCTGACTAAACAGAATGTGTCCAACGTTTAGAATAAATAACGCGCTCAGGTACAAATTTAATGATAACTTCATATTTTTCATTTTCAGTTATTTGGATGCGACTGTAGCATCAGGAGCAGCCACAAGGGGGCAGTAGTGTGCAGCTTCCTGCGCTCCTCCATCAGTGAACTAACCATAACTTCTCCACCTGTGAGTGAAGGTGTGTCTCATTCTGAGTCCTCAGGACAACAGCTGCATTACCAGGAGTCGGAGAGAAGCGGCGTCCTCCATCGCTGTAGCGTGCAGCTCGGGGGGGGGGGGG